GCTGAAGTTTCTTAATATAATAAAATATCAACTAACGAATGCATCTGACAGTGCACAGGATTGTCCTCAAGAATAGTCGCAGATCTTCATAAAATCTGTGGTATGAAGCAATATATTTATTAAAGAGGAGAGGGCAAATCTGAGTCAAAATCTGTGACGTCATCACTTTTAGTTTGTACCTTGTTAAATAGTATCAGTTGAAGTTTCGAGTGCATTATGTTGTCGTTCTTTCCCAGAGGCAGTGTTGCAACAGAGATATTGGAAGGGTATTTTGGGATCTATAGTCAACTATATGCAATTTCTCCAATACCACTGCTTTGTTAGCCGATCGTTTCGAAGCGTGCCACCTTCACCGAAGGATACAAATTCACGGTTTCTTTATTTGGTGTCTCACGTTCTATCTATGACTCTGATTTTAGATTAAATTTATGAGACTAGCTGCAGAGCTTTCAGCCAACTCAGTGTCATTGACGAAGTGACGAGAGTCAGCAATGGCCAAAGTCGCTCAGTCGTTTCGACGACTGCATGAGGATGCAGAAGCTTCAGAAAAGTGTCCAGCATTCCTGATCCTGTACTCGCCTCTGAGCTTCAGCCGAAGACACTCTGAGTCTTGAGCAGAGTCCATCGAGGTACTTGCTCAAGGTCGTTCTTTGTCGCCTCCTGAGTCTTTGGCAGATCGATTGAGCAGGTAGTAGCTGCTTCGCCTTCCCTTTTACGTGGCGAACCGAGCAACGTTCGAATAACTTTCAGTCGCAATCAGGGGTCGCGCTTAAGAGGTACTACTAGGATTCATCGCCGTTTAAATCCGAGACGAAATTTTCATTCCATGACCAGCTGAAATCGGCTGCCAAAAAATCACATATACTATAATTGCCTCATGCAATTGACATGTCATCTCATGAATTTGGTTACTTTACTCTGATAGCATATTCATTCAGAACACTGTGCTTTAGTGGAGTGAAGCTGTGCACTCATTTTGCTGCTTAACTTTATTTCCTGGTTTCCAAGTGTATGAATTCCAGATAAGAGCGTTCATATTTCATAGGCTTTACCAAAGAGTTCTCACATTTTCGTCTAGGACTATTCTCATTCATGTAAGTTCCTTGGTCCCAAGTCATGTTAGCCCTGTGGACAGCTGACAGTGATGGGAGCATGTGGTGACAAATCGGGATGAAAAATGATGCAAGTATTCTCCACTATTGGGAAAATAGTCCCCGAGGTGACGGCAGCAGGATGGGACTAACAGGTCGATTTATGTGTGTAAAACGCATATGGATGGGCAAAGGATAATGTGCAGTTAA